GAAAGACACCCGCCGACCCAATATTGTCCGGTTGCCCCATGCCGTTCGTTCGTTAGTGGGCTTTTCTCCATCCTCCATCTCCACACACATAGCTTTCACGTGCGCACCCGAAAACACAGGCAAGCAGAAGCCCAGAATCCACCCCGAAAAGCAGCACACAGCTCCTAAAATAAATCGAATTCCAGGGGGCCGGTGTGTGGAGGTGACCGGCTGCACAAAAAGCTCGAAATGAAAACTTGAGGCATCCGGATAATACGGCAAACTTGGAGAGCTGTGGTATCTCAAAGGTCAAAAACAATCTTCAGAACCATGTTTTATTTAAACGCGCCATTTTACAACGCATTTGAAAACGTTAAGGAGCGGCTTCTGCATCCAATTCAAAGCTACTTCCGGTGATTTTGTATGAAGAATTTGAGGCCAATTAGCTCGTATGCAACCCCGCAACGCGGTGTAATTTTACAAAATGGTTTGTAGAATAGCGTATTTAAATCAAATCATGGTTTTGAAGATTCTTTGCATTCCATATGCTACCGTCATCAGCAACCGGAAGTGCTTTAGATTTGCATGCCAATTGATCGGTATAAAAAGCGATCAGAAGCCTCCGGAAAATTCATTTTCTCCATCGACACCTCATCAGCGCCCCGGCCGCCAGCGTGCTCCACGTCTCCATGGGAAAGTAAGTGTCATTTGATGCTATTCGGACCTCGCCGCCACTCGACTTTTGTATCTCAGCTCACCGATGCGCTACCGGGATGTAAAGTATACCAAAATGTTCGTCTTCCTCTGGGGAGTACTTTGGTATACCTTACAACCTTGTGGCACACTAGGGAGCAAAGATACCGTCTCTAAACCTTAGTCTCCAACTCATTCTCTTCATTTTCAGAAAGGGCGGCGAAACGAGCGGCGAGCCGCGCCACAAGTCGAGCAAGCGCCAAAAGTCGAAAGATAGCGGCGCGATGTCGCGCGAAACGACCAGCCACAAACCAACGGATAGCAGGGCCCCCCTCAACGAAGCCCAGAAGAGTGCCGCCGCCGCTTTCATGGGCCAGACGCTCAGGAAGGGAATTAAGGTACGCTGGGTACTTGAGTGTTAGCGGGGGCTACCCTTCCCCCCGATAAGATACCAGTACCCAGCACTTCCGTTCGCTTTTAGACCCTGAAAGTCGAGTTCGCCCGAAACCCTCGCGTCTACAACATGGCCAAGTGCACCGTGTTCAGCCGCAACCAGAAGCTGAACAGATACAAGGTGGGGGCGAATGGCGCAGCTGTAAATCACTTCCCTGATGCGCTACAGGTCCATAAAGTATAACAAAATGCTCGCCAGGTCAACGCCAGACTTTTTGGTATACTTTACAACTCTGTAGCTCAAGGGGGAGCCAAGATCCAGCTGCATTCTTTCCTACCTGAACTCGTTCAGGACGTCGGCTGCCTCGACCACAACCGCGTGCGCGTCGCCGGCGCCAACCCCGACGAGTACATCCACGCCAACTACGTCGGCACCTTCCTCAGCCCGAAGCGCTTCATCTGCGCCCAGGGGCCCATGGACGCGACGTGCGGCCACTTTTGGATGATGGTCATCCAGGAGAAGGTTGAGGTATCGCTATTCTGGCAGATCTTGGCCCTCAACGACCAATTCAGTCGATCATCATGTTGTGCGAGTACGAGGAGCTGCACAAGCCGAAGTGCGCCAGATACTACCCGGAAGAGAAGGGGCAGGAGATGACCTTCCAAACGCCGGAGCACGGTCCGATCATCCTCACCAACGAGCTGCAGCGCGACGTGGGTGCAATTTCTGGCAAAAGTTAGAGTTTTTACTAAGCTCTCTCTCTCTCTCTCTCTCTCTCTCTTTTCTATTTTCTAACCAAAAACATCGAATATAAACAACAAATATCGGCACTGGGCTGTTAACAGGGGGGATTTGTCGCTGGAAAAAAACCCAATTTTTCCAATAATCTTGCACGCGCCTAAACACAAATTATTCAGCAATATTGTAGCATTTTACAGTTTATAGCATTTTCCTAATCAATACCGAATCGAAAACATTTACAAAAATATTGAGATTTTTTGATTTTTGTAGGCAAAAATGGGTTCCCACCAACCCTAACTTTTTAGTCATACGTTCTTTTGCTTTACTAGCCTGTTGCCGAAACCAGTAATATAAACAATTTGGCTACGGTTTACTTTACCCCCCCCCCCCCCCCCCAGCCGGAAGTTTTTGGCTATAACTTTTTTATTTTACATTATTCTAGGCTCAAATTAAAACTCTTAGTATATTTTTCGACGCTCTATCGAATGGCGTTGCGAAAATCCCGACAAAATAAGCGAAAATACGGACAACTTTGAGACCCTTCGGCTGTGGGGGGGGGGGGGTAAAGTAAACTCTTACCAACAATTTTATTCATGATAGAAAAAATCCAAACCAGCAACTGTATTTTAGTTCAAATTCCGGCACGAGACCCCGGTGAAAATTCGCGTGTGCACGCTGAAAGTCGCCGGTCTCGGCTCCGAGATGACGGTCACGCACTACCATGTATGTATCGAAACTTCGGTACTGGGCTGTTAGCGGGGGGGGATTCTCTTCATAAGGTCTCAAATCCAAAAAAAAATCCCCATACCCGATTGCAGTGGGTCAAATGGCCGGACCGCGGCGCCCCACCGCCCGACGAAGCCCCCATTGAACTGCTCGAGAAGGTGGCCAACAAACACGCGGTCCCCATCGTGGTGCACTGCTCGGCGGGCATCGGCCGCACCGGGTCCATCGTCTTGCTGCAGGCCATCCAGGAGAAGATCCTGGTGCAGGCCTGCGAGCAGTTTGAGGTCGAGGACCTGCTCAAGGAGTGCAGGGAGAGCCGCGCCGCCCTCGTCCAGGTGCGTCCAGGTATTTTTATAATATTTTTGGTAAAAGAAAACGGTATTTTAACTGGCAATATCTAAAAACACAAATCTTTTCAATAAGTCGGGATTTTGCTCAAAAACGGCCATTTTTGGTCAAAAAATGTTGTTTTTTTTGCATTTCGTTTAATAAAAAAAATCGGTAAAGTTTCTACTTTTAGGAATTTGTAAAGTTTCTACGTTTAGGAATAGTACCAAAAAAACAGTTTAGAAACACTTCAGAAACAGTTGTTCCGCCCGCTAACAGTCCAGTCCCCTAATCAATAACTAGCAAACCTGGCCCATACAAGAAGAAGGGTTTCAGATGGGGCCCCAATACTACTACGTGCACGAGGTGCTGCTCAACCACTATTATCGTCGGCTCGGGAGCGCCGTGGCCGGCTGCGAGAAAAACCTGAAGAACTTCACGGTCGACTACAACAAGGCGCTCGCCGAGACCACCAACAACAAATGAGCGGCCGCGACGCGATGGGGCACCCTCGGCTGAATGATGAACACAAAAAAGAAATCTCTAACACTATTCGCTTGTACCATTAATGCTTGTGATAACGGGTCCCGCAGTGTTTTTCAAAATAAAGTAATTCGATGACTGGGTGTTACGCTGAGGAGAAGCGGCCGTTTTTCAAGAGCTTTTGGATTTTGCGATGTGACCGCGCTCACTCGATACAGCTTGAAATTTTGAGCAAATCCCATCTTCCAAAAAAGCCTCCGACTTCGAGAATTCTTCAAAGCTTAGATTTTGATAAGCCGTGGCCTAACACTGACGAAATCCGCCCTTTCCGAGCAAGTTTTCGCCAAAATCATCATCGTTTAGCAATTTCTGAAAGATGGGATTAGTTCAGAATTTTAAGCTCTATCGAATGAGCTTGGTCACGCCGCGAAACTCGAAAAGCCTTCAAAACTACTCTTTATGAATTCAAGGTGAATCGGAGCGTCTAGTAATACCTGGAACTTGCTACTGCGACTCGCTGGAAAATCGAGGAGAACACTAAACGGACTAATGATAAGAAACCAAAACACAAATAAAACCACACAGCTTCGCGTCGAATCTCATAAATAACGAACCGCGCTTTGCTTTTTTCGCGTAAGTCTTTCGTTGTCCTAACCTTATGGAATCGTTACAAAAAGCTAAGAAAAAAAATGAAATATTGTTACTTTCTCCCTGCTTGAAAACACTGATGTTCAGAAGACACTGATATCAAAAGCAGAACTATTCCAAGCGCAACAACGCACTAATGGGACCAAAAGGTCAAGCCGACAGCGGCATCGCGCCAAATCTAACAAAAACCAAAATGTCGAACGCATTTTCACTTTTCTTTTGTAAGCCTGTGATCTATATTTTTTCGTGCAGCTTCTCGTTTACAATATCACGAAACGAGAATACCATAAACCAGACTGGTTTCCGAATCGACCGATATCCCATTCTCATAGTCCTCCGCTGCATCATTATCATAAAATCAACCCAAAAGCAAAGTTTATTCCGTTCACGATGTGCACTACATTTCGGCCAAACGATATCAATCACAAAATGCTGTAGCAATGATCAATGGAAAGCAAATAGGTATGTAAGAGTCGATGTACGAATTCATTCAGAGAAAAATTTACGCGGTTTTCAACAGCGCAAACGAGGATCGAAAATTGTAGAGCGCGTTCGGGCCGCCGCCCTGGCCGATGCCGAGCTTCTCGGCCACGCCGATAAAGTAGACCATTTGCGCGATGCCGAACAGCGGGGCCATCACCTAAAAATACTTTTTACGAAATTAAAACAAAAACAAACCATAACTCGGCAGCTCGCGCCTCGAAACAGCGCGCGCAGGCCCTCGCCGTCGTAGATTTTACACAGCGCTTCCCCGATTCCTCGGTATCCGGAGCCGCCGGTCTAAAATTAGGAATTACTAAAAAATATAGATTCTCGCCTGAATTCGCGTTTTCACAACATCGAGTGGGGTGACGAGAAAGGCGCCCAGGCCCGCCGCTAGCAATCCGGAGGCGAAACTGAAAAAAAGAGTTTTCATAAGCTTTTTCCTAAGTTTACGCTTAGATTTTCTTGTTCATATGCTTTTTGATGTTTGGGACTGATTTATATTCTTTTTTTCAGATAATAGACGATGCTGCTGACGTGCTTCAACTGCGACACGTGCAAGAAGCCGTTCGACTGCAAGGAGGGCATGCCGAACACGCCGGTGTTGGGCGACCCGGCAAAAGTCACGAATTGCGCGGCATGTGAGACGGTGAATCCTGAACAAGTGCCGTACCGTGGACTGCTCCAATTTCTCGATCAACCGGCCTTCGAGAAAACGGACGATGGATACGTTTGCGAGGAAATTCACAAGATTCCCCCGGGCTTGACGTGCATTTGCAGGCCGGCCAGCGAAGACGTGTATGTGAGCGGCGCCTACAAGCTTCAATGCGGTCACCTTCTCTGCTGCCACTCCAAAAGCATGGTCAAGTGCCGGTATTGCGGAGCCATCGATGAAAGCAAGGAATTCTATCGTGACCAGGGAATTTTGGCGCTGTTGGAGGAGCGTAGGAAGGAGTTGGGCCTGCTGGGCATCCAGAGCTGTGCGGATTGCTACCGCGAAGGCAAAATCGAGCGCCTCTTTCGATGCGAGAAGTGCAGATCCGCTTTGTGCGGATTCTGTGCCTACAAAAAGCATCGCTATCACCACGCCGTCGACTTGCTGGGCATTGAATTGGGCCTGCTTCAGGACGGCTCGATCAAAAGGTTTGACGAGGCGGTTTCCGGCCTAGAGGGAAATTTCGGTTACCTACACCTCGAAGCCAACAAGGCCGTCGAATCCTTGAAGGGAATCGGAATCCAGCGCCTCCAGCAAATCCCCACATTCGCTGAATTTTCGGACGCAAGGAAAGTGGCCGCCGAAATTGTCGCCGCCGCCCGGGAATTTGAGGAATATTGCGAGGAGTACATTCCGGCGGTTCGCATATTTACCGAAAAGATTCGCCAGCTGCACGAGAAGCTGAACAAAAGTCTGGGAAAATAAGTCGTTGATATAATTCACGGAAATTCTAAATTTGTTATTCGAAACCTACACTTTTTGCGCGAAATGTAATAATGCTAAAATTTCGTCGTCTTTCCATTCCTTCTATGTACATATTGCATTGTTATAAAACGGTCGATAAATGTTCAGTTTAGGTAACGACCATGCTGCTGACGTGCTTCAACTGCGCCACGTGCAAGAAGCCGTTCGACTGCAAGGAGGACATGCCGAACACGCCGGTGCTGGGCGATCCGGCAAAAGTCACGAATTGTGCGGGATGCGAGGACAAGGGCCCCGAACAAGTGCCGTACCGCGGGCTGCTCCAATTTCTCGACCAGCCTGGGCTGGAGAAGACGGATACCGGATACGAATACACCGGCCAGATCGTCTACCCGAGTTGCAAGGAGTGCGGCGTCAAACTGAACATCTCCAAGTTGGCCTACAAGTTGGGATGCGGTCACTGGACGTGCTGCCACAACAAGGGGCCAGTGAAATGTTTGGAATGCGAAACGATGGATGAAGGAGGGTTGTTATGGCACGATTCGCGGATACGCAAGTTTTTAGGTACTGACCCGTTAGCGGGGGAGAAAAACAGCGCATCATTTTATAGCGTAGTTAGTAATTTTTCACGTTTAAAAATGAAAATTTAACGTTTTACCAGGGTTGAAAAACCGCTTCGCGGCTTTTCAACCCTGGCCCCGTCTTCTCCAATGATATTCTTGGCTTTGCATAATGTTCCCGGGTTCGGATGACCAAAACTGAAAAATGCTCTTGCCGTCCCTTTATATAGGCTACCGCGACTTCCGGTGCATGCTAATTTGATCCTAACAAAGTAGGTTGTCCGTTTTTCCAAGAAAAACTGAATTTTAATGTCGAAAACATCATATTTTGTAAAATTTGATATGTGTGCAGTCATCTCTAGCCCATTACGCACCTAATGACGTATCGAACATACCCCTAAGTACTTCCCTACTTGAGATACTACTGGAACACGCTGACGGAAGTTGCATGCAAATGCACACACATACATACACACACACACACACACAGGAACTATTTTTTTATATATAGTAGGATGATTTTCATATTTTCATCAAAGGTAAAAAATTTTGGATTTTTTTGGAATTTGCGCGTGCTTTTTATAGCTAAGAAGGGTTGAGTAAGGAAAAATTCGCGCCCGCCGCCTCCCGTTAACAACCCAGTACAAAGCAATTTTTTAGAAGAAGACGACAACCATCTACGCGAGGAGGGCCTACAGCAATGCGGAGACTGTGGCCTCGTCCACCAATTTTCACACCTATTTCGGTGCATGGATTGCACGATTACCGCATGCGGGGTGTGCGCCTTCAAAATACATCGACAGCACGAGGTTTCTGAACTTCTCGAGCTCGAGCTGGATGTCATCAACAAAGTGGCCAAGGACCGATTTGATGAAGCGGTCACCGGGCTGGCGGGAAATCTACGATATCTGCACCAAGAGGTCGATAAGGCTGTGGAAGCCCTAAAAGCCATGGGAATTCAACGCCTCGAAAAGACGAAGAAGCTCGACTCGTTTCCGAAAGCGAAAAAGGCGCTCGCGCCGATCAAAGAGGCGGCAAAGGAATTTGAGGAATATTGCGAGGAGTACTTCCCGATGATGCGCATTTTCACGGTGAAGATTCGGCGGTTGAACGAGCAACTTGATACAAAGGAAATCCAAGAAATCAAAGATACCAATTAATCCGTTACGCTCATAATTAATTATTTGTTTTGACGTTGCGATGTTGATAAATTCATGTGTTTGCTACGACTTTCTTTTACGAATTTGAGCTGCCACAATCGCTGAAAATATCATGGTTTAACTGGGATTTTAAGCTGACTACTGATAGAATTGTTTGAAAAAGCTATTTAGAGTCCGATACCTTGCATAAAAAACGGCATCCCCGCTGCCATCCTTTTTCCGAGGGCCCATCGAGTCGAGTTTAGCGAAGAGCGGGAAGTAGATAACTAAAAACGTAGAATTTTCGTTTGGAAGCGTACCCGAAAACGTGACATCTCGGGCCAGGGTCGGGGCGACGCCTCGATAAAGCCCCCGGAAGCCGCGATCCGCGAGAAGTTGCCGCAAGATCACCGCGGGGGAGACGCGCTTCTCCGCCTGCTGCATCCGGATCTTCAGCAGCTCCATCGGGGTCGTCACGGTCACTTGGAAGAGCCCGGCGAGGCCGCCTATAAAGCTGTTTTTTAGCGATTACGAGGGTTACTTTTTGGGTGGTACCGGAGTTTTGTGATGAAATATATCTTCTCCGATAGAGGATGAAATTCTGAGCAGAGCTTCTTTCAAAAACTGCAGAACGACTTTTGGAGAAAACTAGCTTTGTAAGTGCCGATTTTGCCCGTTTTTGGCCGGCGCTTAGCAAATGGAAATTTTCAGAAACTTTTTCTCGAAAAGCTTTATCGTCAGCAGTTTTTTTAAAAATAGCAAAACAGCAGCAGAATTTGACGTTTTATTCGAATGAGCATCGCAAAACTCGATTATCATCCAAAAACAACCCCTTGTAAGTTGTAAAGTACCTGCCAGCATGCCGCGTAGCGCCCCCAGCTTCTTCTCACCCGGCGTGGCGAGCTGATGCCGAAAATAGTCGTTGGCGACGAGCTTGATCGCTTTTTCCGGTGTGATCAGCAATATATTCACAGAGGCGCCCTCAAAAGGATAAAAACTATCGCAAATTTCCTTACTTGATAAAATCCGCCTATCCTGCTGAAGAAGCTGCCACCGTTTCGTTGCCACGTCTTGCGCGCGCAGTCGGTGATGCCTCTAGAACAAGGATTCATTGATTAAAAGGACATTCACCTGTAGATCGGGCTATTCGCATTCTGGTTCTGGAGGCGCGTCTTGATGAGGTCAAGCGGGAACACGCAGCTGACGCCTGGAAAAAGAAGGTTAGACTTTTAGGGGGTTTTCAGTTAGTTTTTCAAACAAAAATAACTTTTTTTCCGTAGCTTTTGGGCTGGTAAATCGTTTTCACATTCTTTTTACTAGCTCAATTCTGTCTGAAATCGTTTAGAAACATTTTTTAGCAAAAAAATTATTTAAAATAGTTTTTCTAAGAAAATAACCGACCACATATGCCCGCGAAGCCGGCGTTGAAGATTTTCGTCTTGTACGAGAAGCGCTCGACCACCTAAACTTTCTAAAATTGAAAATTTAGAGCAAGAACTTGCCTCGAACAGTTCGCTTTCTAGTTCCGGTGCGGGGCCCTCGTCGAGCAGCGGGGCGGCCATGCTTCAAGTAGGGTTGGGTAAAAAATGAAGCGAGCACGGCTTTTCTACGAAAATGTGGCGTCCGTAAGGAGTAGCGTAAGTAGTCGCCAGCGCGCGGTTTAGAAATGTAAGTGTAAAAAGGTATGTTTTAAATTACAAAAGTAGTAAAATGCTCCTAAAAAACTCGATTTTTCTGCGTAATAACTAAATTTGTAAAATTATGAAGCTGGATTATGCGCAGCTTTATTATTTCATTTCTGGTTCGAGCTGTAACACGGTTTTTAATTTGTCAAGCAGTAAAATAATTATAAAAGCGGATTTTTCGAGAGTTATGACTTTATTTGAGAAAGAAAGACGATGTTTTTTGTACATGGCCTTGCAAGTCTTCTTCTTTTGATTTCTCAGAATTTTTAGAAGATTTTCTGAGACAGAAGAAGACTTTCCAGACTTACCGTTGAGCGTCTGACGCTGTGTGAATTTTTAAAAAACTTTTTCTAGGTTGACTCTGTTTTTACTGCTTGCTCCTTCATTTTAACGTTTTCAAAACAATTCACCTCCGGAAATATGCTTGATTTGAAACTGTTTGCGCTTGCTTTCTTGCTGTAACATGCGTTCTGGCAGCTTCGTTGTACCTTTGCGAGCCGGTTTTTCAAAGACAATTCACCATTCGTAAATTGATGTCCAATACATCACCCATTTCTCATGACTTTTCATTCAAACAAAACTTTCCGGAACCCCAGGCCCGGGTCTCCATAGCGCCCTCCGCTACAATCCAGCCGGCTGTGCTGCGCTCCACGATATATTGCGCTCCATTTCCGAAGTCGCCCATGATACACGAGCTTCCTCAACGGCCTTGAGCCTTCAAGAACTTTGGTTAAATTTTATTAACCAGTGGCTTTCATTTGTGTGATTTTTAGGATCTGCAGGCTTTCCGTTTACCCCGGAAAAACACTAATTTGTGCGTTTCCTTTTATAGCTGGTTGGTAACAAAATATGAAGTATTTTTATAGCGCGTTTTAATAGTTTTTCTTCATTCAGTTCATAGGGACCGTAAAATGTTCTTGTTTAATTTTTAATTTGAAGTTTTCAACTTTTTTCCCAAAGGTTATCGAAATTTTTATGATTTCTTGCGTACTTTTTAGATTCAAAAACTGTGCAATGCTGCAAAAATTCGCTATATTTTTTGCATACGAACTACTCGTGAAAATCCCCCACCCCTGCTAAGCCGAAAGCGCCGATTTTTCTGATCCTCTAATTGTCTAGTGCAAATTTTCTCTTCTCCGCTCGCAAGTGATCCCTCAATTTATTATTCACGATTCAAACTGAATTTTGCACGTTTCTCGCTCAAAAAAATTGATATTGACCCCGGCGCCCTGCGCCCCAATCCTTTTTATCATTTCCGGTCCGGTGCACCGGCAATCCGGGCACGTCGCCGCCGAAAATCATCGTCGTGCCCAAAGATCATGCTCCCACTTGGCAAAACATTGTCACTTTCCCCTAATCCGATATTTACTAATCCCGGAAAGTACATCATCTCCGGTCGATTTGCAAGATTTTGCAGGCAAAGGGCGAGCTTTTCAAGCCTTTTGATTTTGGGTCACGGCGTTACACTTCACGGAAAACTTCTAGAATTTATTTTTAATTAAATTACGCATGACTTCTAGCATCTTATATAACTTTAAAATGCCCTTTGAAACGTAAAATTAAGGCGAAGGTCAATGCCCGGTTTTTCAGCCTAATTTCGACGGCGGCTAGGGTTTCATGCTGTCATGCTTTACGCCGCCTGGAGCATTTTTAGGGTCTCTGACCACTGAAATCATCTAAAGTAATTTTTCTCTTATAGATTTTATGGTTTTAATTCTTTCAAAGTGTATTTATTTTTTGATAGTGATCATTAAATTAAAATACGTTAAAGCTTACTAAGCAATTCCGTTAAAATACAATCTTTCTATCGATGAAAATCTTTTTTTTAAGGCTGGAATTTTCAGAAGCATGGTTTATTTTAGTTTTTTTTAATAAGCGATTTCGTAGTATTATATGTTGGATTGTGCAATCTACAGGTTGAAGATCGTAGTAAGATTATCGTCAAATTCCGCGGAGATCCGCTCTTTGCTGATTTTTCCTAGAAAACGTGCAGATAATTGTGAGTTAGGTAATACGCTTTTTCAAGTACTACATCTGTTATCTATTTTCCCGGTATTCCTCCTTTTTTAGGCCCATTACAAAAGTACAGGAAGGGCCGCCGTCCACACCAATTATCTCGTCTAATCCCATTTTTTAGAAAAACCTCGCCCATTCTGGAGATTCTTCTGAGATATACTTTTGCATAATTGTGCGGATATTGCTTTCTTCTTTTAAAGGAAATTGTCTAGATCTAAATACCTAATCTCTGGCGTTTTTACGATTGGTTTTTATGCACACTAAACTACGCCGATCACAAACTACGGTAGAAAGGGGCGTGGATTAATCTGCACGATTTTTCCGCACCTTTACTTCTTACGCTTACATAGGGCTTTTGAAAGGGCCATAGAAATTTGGAAATGCTCTGTTTATCTGGATTTGGCGGCAAGCTTTGCACAGGACAGATTTTCGAAGGCACTGAACACGGCTTTGTTCCCTTTCTTGTATACTAAATGGCAGGCGCAACGAGCGTGTAGTAATTTCAAGGGAAATCGCCGCTCAAATAAACAAAACGAAAGAATTTACATTGGAGTGCGGTGTAGTCGGAGCTCGGCTACGAGTAGCACCTCTGAACGCTCTCTCGTTCTCTCTCTCTCTCTCTCTCTCTCTCTGTATCGCTCGCTCTTTCTCACCTCTATCTTTCTCCCTCGTTCTCTCTTTCATTTTTCAGTTCTCTCATTCTCTCGCTTTCTCGAACTCTCTCCCTTTCTGTATCTCTCTCCTTCTCTCTCTCTCTCTCTCTCTCTCTCTCTCTCTCTCTCTTTTTTTTCGTTCTCGTTTGTCTTTGCTTTTCGTTTGTTTTCTCTTACTTTATCTTTCCCGGTTGTCCGGGAACTGTAATTTTCCAGAATTTCAATTTTTAGGAATTCCAAAAGGTTAAATTCGGGCTTGCCCGTCCCTGTAAACCGCTTTTCCTCCTCTAGAAAACTAGAAAAACCCCTGACTAACGAAAAAAATTAAAAATGTCCGCCCTTGTGGACCCATCCGGGCTGTGGGAACATTTGTCAACCTCCCCCCAAGGCGGGCCCGATGGCCGCGTTGTTTGAGCCCGATTTCCATTATTCATCACATAAAACAATTGGTAGAATGGGACTGCGAAATACGGACCCAGCCCATAGCCCAGCTCGATAGGTTTTGTGTTCAATTCGAATAGGGCCGACCACGCAAAAACGAACACCCCCGAATGGAATAAAGCCACAGGCGGCCTACGCACGGCTACAAATTACACATCCGGAAAAAAAGGGCTTTGGAGACGGACGATTCACTACGATTTTTTAAAATGTTGAAATTCACACA